TAGTCCTTTTTCTCACAAAACTATTATAATAATAATTATTATAATAAATTGGGGGGTGGAACTAAGATATTATTGCGAATAATAAACATGTTTTGGCAAAATTCGGTCAACCCTGCACAAATGGTACTGGAAGTTATAGGCAGTACCAATATACACCGTTTAGGGTACCCAAAAAGATTTGTAAATAACTTTGGGGGTAATTTGCAAGTCAAGTGTATATTGGTACTGCCTATAACTTCAAGTACCATTTGTACCCGAGACTAGGATGGAAATATCCATATTTTCACAAAAACCCTTTTTTCCGATGAATCACAATTATTAGTTTTACCCCTTTTAACCACCCTCAAAGTTATTTGCAAGTGTCTTTTTAGGTACTCTAAACGGTGTATATTGGTTCTGCTTATACCGTCCAGTACCATTTGTGCATGGTGGACCGAATTTTGCCAAAACATGTTTTACCCCACAATTTATTGTAATTATTATTATATTAGTCTTGTGGGAAAAAGGATCGCAGGTACACCCATAGGTATTCAAATTTTTAGTTATTAAATGAAATAAACGCCACTGATCAATCGACAATGTTCGGCAGTTTGACTGTTAACGTTTAGCTGAGTTCACATCAGTAATTTATAAGACATGTTATTCAACATCATCATTGATTTCATTAGCTGAATTTCAGACAGCAAGAAAAGCAATTTTCATAATGTATATGCTTCACGAAAGTGTTTTTGACATTTACTATAGATATTCTTTTAAGTGTACCAAACTTTTGTAATTTTCTAAAAATATCTGTTATAGAAATAATATTTCTGGGGTGCTGACAAATGCTGGCTAACTCTATAATGCGACAGGTATTTTCGTAGGGCTTTCTTTTTTTGTGAATGAGGTATTCAAACCAAAAAGTATTAATCACTGCAAACAAAAATGTTATCTGCCTATTTGCGTAAAAATATAATTAAGCGATAATTTAATTATCTACCAAGTGTAAGTACTCAACTGAGCTATACCAACAATAGTTTTCGACAGTGTAATATCTTATCTTAAATCTGCAACTACCCACCAAGCATCAAATTTTCTTTTCATTTGGCGTTACGTAAATAAAAAATAATAATTAAAATTCGCCTCAGTCATTTGCAATTCGCGGCTACCGCTGTGGCTGTTTAATTTTAATTGTTGACCATTTAGAAAGCAAACAGTTACGGTAAAACTCTTGAAAAAATATGGCCAGTATGTTGCGGGATAGTGTGTTTTGTGCGTTTTGAGGGACAGAAATTCAGAAAAACTGCTACCTATATCGTGCGTGAACATCTGCATATGGACTATTATTAAATTGGTATGATTAATACTTGGACTTGGAGGTGAAATTATTAGTTTATGTGGGAATGATTGTAACAAAATATGTCATGTGCTGGATTAATTTAAATAATTGGTTGGTATCCATTGTGTTTGTAGATTTACGTAAAAAGTCTTTGGAAGTGTGACAAAGCTGGCTCACTTTCTTTCTAAGCCCAAAATATCATTTATGGGCTGATATTTTTGTGTGCTTTGTTGCTTCATGATCCATTCTTAAATGTAGGATGGGCTAAAATAAATAGGTAGGCATCGATAGAATCGAATGTATTCGGTTTTTGATTAATCGATTGCCAGGCTCTCTTTGGCAGAGTAAATTTAGAATCTAAGTCCTTGATAAGTTTGGTATTAGTTGTCCTAGTGACAACAATTTATTATAGGTTCCGCAAACAATAGTATTTGCGAATTAGTTTCAATATAACGTCCACCCAAACTTGGTGTTTCTATTGATATTTCATGTGATTGGCTTGTGATATGCCAGAAATAGATCCTATAGGTACAGGGTGTCTCACTAAGGTCGGCCAGGTACGATATTATGGAGACCATAGACCTTACGTAACTTGAAAACGAATGCAGATATTGAATTGCGGTTTGCGCCAAAATGTAGATATTTTTTGCTCTTTAAGCTACAAAAATAATATTATGCCATTTGGATTTTTCATGAAAATTAGAAAAAACTGGATCTTGAATAAACAGCGCCCTCTAGAAGACGCGGTGGGAACTATCGACCTCGAACGAAGTGGTGTTCTTAATAACAATGAAATTCTCTTCCAAATAAACCCAAATTGAATGAGTTTGAATGAGGGGTATGGAAGATACAGCAATTTCTAAAAAAAAAATTTCACCAGCTTCCCCCACCCTTATTACTGAAGATACGAAAAAAAGCCTAATAACCAAACTGGCGCAAAAATTAGTGAACTTTTGATTTCTGTTGTTAAAACAGTATCTTAATATAGCAATTTCTCGAGAAAAGTTGAATTTTTAGCTATATAATCGTAATTGCTCCCCTAGCGGTCATCCTAGAAACTTGAAAATAATTTCCATCAATTTCTCTTGTTCGATTTAGTGAAGAAAAAAAAAGCCGTAAGGTCTATGGTTTCCATAATATCGTACCTGGCCGACCTTAGTGGGACACCTGGTATAATTTGCATTGAAAAGTGAAAAAGAATTTGTAAACTTGAAGATGCGGAATAATGAGGATTCAAGATAACTTGGCATCAACATCCATTTAATATTAAGCTGGCAATTTCTCTGCTCCACAAGTAACTCACTACATGGGAAAATCCATATTGATCAATTAGGTGCAAACCTCATTTTAGCATTACCTATCATTTCTCTATTGAAAAATGGAATTTCAAAATTGGGAAGTAAGCAGATAGAAGTACTCATTGTAGAAATCTATTTAAAGGATCTTCTGGATCAGCAGTCATATCTCAACAATCTTATTCCCAGTTTGTTAGCCAGATTTTTCCTTTCTCCAGTTTCCTGGCGTCATTATCTTCTATTTGATCACTTCTTAGCTGTTCAGAACTCCGTTCTGGATCCGTTCCAAATCAAAGGCTTCATACGGATCAATTCTGAGGCATTTCTTGCCTTGATCTGGGCAGCCTTGATAAGGCAGTTGCGTTGTTTTGCAGTCTTCCAGAACAATGTTCGATTTGAAAATTGTATGGATGCAACTTTTCCATCGAAGGCAAAGAGTCACCAAAAGAAGAACATACTTTTTAATCGGGCCTAAAATGACCTTTCAAGTTTATTGACTGAGAAATTTATTTGTGGCTTGCAAAAAGCAAGAAATACATTTTAATTTGTTAGTTACAGCAACTAAGGACTGTGGATAGTGTTATTGAGGACCTTTCAAAACGCTAAAAAAATTGTTATGTCCACGCCAATTGGTGCCAGCTAGACAAGCTGCTAATTATCTTTGAAAAACGTTCGTCATTTTAACGTTTGTTTTTCGAATAAGAAGTCAACTAACTTTCTAATTACGTATTACATATTTGCACATAATAATGATCTGAATGTGCCCATTTTTCTATAGCTCTCTTACTTGTTAAGAACAAGTCAGGACCTTGTTACAGGGTTGACAAAAATCTGGCTAATTGTATTATTGATGTTTTTGGTGGATATTTGTGTTTTTGATATACTTATACCTATTTTTATGTATTAAAGCATAACATTTTCGCACATATTATAACTACAGAAGTATCAAAGAGCGCTTGAGAACATCTAGAAGATTCCTGATAACTTCTAGAACATTCTAGCGCTTCAAAATCAATATTGAATTAATTAAAAACTTTGTAAATCATTTTTCAGAATGCGCTGCTAGTGTCAATTTAGAAAATTTTTGAGCATGTTAAAACGCTATAGAGCAATTTAGAACTTTGAGAACAAGCGGTAAACCAGCCCCCCGAATTTGTGCGAACAATTCCTCAAACTACCCGCAAATTCCTCCAAATTCCCCACAAATTCCTCCAAATTTCCTGCAAATGCCTTTTACAAATTCCATAAAAATTTCCAAAATTAATCGTGATAAGAAATGTATTTTTCTATTTTTATCATGCTCAGTGTTAAAACCAATAAATTCCCCCAATTTATTATAAATTCCTTTAAATTCCCCACAAATTCCTCTATAAATTCCCCACAGTTTTGGCATAGAATTCCTAGATGAATTGCCCCTTGTTTGATAAGCTTCAGAAGACTTTCAATTCAATTTTCCATCCTCCTGCATTTGTTTGAGACAAATTGGAATCTTTAAAAACATTGTAAAACGTTACAGAACACTTTTGAATCAAATTAGAATTTCAAAAATATTCTAGAACGGACTGGAATACTTCCGAACTTTCGGGAACATTCAAGAAAGTTTAGGTTTAGATGCAAGTTAAAATTTCCAGGCATTTTATGGAACGACATTTTCATTGTTTGACAACGGCCGCCATATTGCCCCTTGGATTGCCCTGACATATCATTGCACAAAGTCGAAAATCGCGTGCTTCCAATAATCCCAATCCGCCAATAACAATTAACGAAAAAAAATCCTTAAAGTTATTCAGCCAATAAAATTCATTGTTATCAGTATGAGCTCCGCCCCTTTATTTTTTTCTAAGCAAAAAATTGTTTCCTGTTTCATATAAATCAACCTTTTCTGGTTTTTTTTTGTGCCTGAATGTTTTGCATTTTCGACAAGGTTGCCAATTTGTAAGTAATTGCTCATATTTGTGAGTATTTTACTAGTCAATTTTGTGAACAAAGGGCAAGGGAAAAATTGGAAATTCACACCACATTGCTTAACGGGATTTTATCTCTGGAAGTATACATCCAAATGAGTTGAAATTTTCAGGGATTGTAGTCCACCACTATCATACAATTTCAGCTTTCTATCTATTATAGAATTGGAGACATGATTTTTCAGTTTCCAAAAATCTAAATCAAAAGGTGCTATCTTAGTACTAAAATGATGAAATTTAATTTTTTTTATGTCAGGAATTTTGTTTTTAAATTTTAAATGATCACTTGGCCCTCAAAAAAATTGAAAAATTCACACCACATTGCTTAACAAGTTTCAGCTTTTATCTTTAATAAACTTTCATTTATGACTTTTCAAAGTGTTTAATACTAAAATGATGAAATTTCTATGGAAATTTGATGATGAAAACTACTATAAACTATTATTATCTACTTCTTGCGTTGCATCTCTTAAGACAGGATAAATCACTAAAAGCTTTTTAATCCTGCCGAACTTTTGGAAAAGGTCCAAATCACCACGTCCTACATCCACAGTTTTTCAAAACTCCCCAGTCAGCCTCGTTTACAGCTGCAAAGTCGTGCCGTGACTCTCCTCCTCGTAAATTCTCATTCATGTAATCAGCGTTAAAATAATTAAGCTGTGGATTTTATTTCTGTTTTTCTGAAAGGATTTATTTGTTATTATTATTGAATTTTTATGTAATTTTGGTTGTAAAAAGTTTTATTATTGCTTGGGTAAGGAGGTTTGAGAGCAAACTAACAAATTTATACTAAAGAAAATAGGTATCAATGGACAGTGAAACTTTTCAAAATCTTATTACTCTACTCAGCATAGTTTTATGCAAAGAGTTCTCTTGGTTCGAAAAAGTAAATAAATCAAAAGCCCTCTAGCATCTTATCTTAAAAATTACTAACAAACCTTTGTTTTCAAACCCTTTAATCCAAAATTTGCATTCGGGCTATCTTGGTGAATGCGCCACTGTTCGATGCATTATTTATTATTTATTATTATTAATAATAATAAATAATTGCATACCTGTTTCCAAATTGAATAATTACGCTATTTAAAATCCTATTGATTTTAGTATAACGGATGATTACTATTTTCTGGGTCATAGCCAGTGAACTAAAAAATTGTTCATTAGTTCCTTTCAGCTGAGTTTTGAAGCGAAATTTTTTTTGGATGTCTGTTTATACACACAATGAATTATTATTGCAAAAGCGACTCTTTATTTGTCTTTATTTAGTTTTACATTTTTACATGTACTTACCTGGTTTTCCTCATTTTTTATTTCAATAAAAATTTAAGTTGTTGAATGATGTAGTACTCATATTCGAACAGCTTTTGCAAAAGATTCTTTTACAGCAATCACAGAGGTATGCAAATAAATCGGTTTCACACAGTAATTCATTAAAAGCCATTCAACTTCAATGTGTGAATTAAAAAAAATGTCGTCAGAGTCCATTCAGCATGAATGAAGGGCGTGCCACTTTTTTTTTTCACTTTTCCTATAGGACCGCATCCGGCGGAGAATTCTTCCAAAGGGACAAAAACTCATGCGAAATTTAATTAGGCCTGCTATATTCAGGGTCCCAGTGTTTACCTTTTCAAACCAGATAATGCCTAGATCCTCGCCTAGATCCAAATTCGAGGGGGTATGCGAGGGCTGAACCACCTTGAAAAATGTATACCTACAGCAGAATCCAGAATTTCACTTTTAACGGAATTTCCACTCCACGGAATCCTTCCACGGAATCCCACATGCTTGTAGACTATAATTCCAAGGAGGTTTACCCCTCGCCCAAGCATTAGCAATCAATTTTATCCTCGTTTCTTTAAAAGTTTTTAGAATCATACTGATTACCAACAGCCACAAGAGTGGAGATATCACTTCTCCATGTGGAGTCTCTTTGGGCGTTCTTCTCCTTATGGTATAGTCACCAATTTCTGAATTAATGATTCAGTTTTTCAGCATTTTTATTATCCATTGTATAATGACTGGTTCGTATTCTTATTTTCAATAGGTCTTTCAATTGTTCCAACTACTTTATCCAGTGCACGATCCAAGTCTTTATTTTGAATAAATGATTTCTAGAAAAAATAATAATAGTTATCAGTCAATTCACTAGAATAAATATAGCCACAATACACTAGACCCATATTTAGTTCAACAATTAATAGTTACTTGGAATCACGGATTTCCATAACTAAAACTAGTGTGCACAATGCTTGAAATTTAATATTTTTAATCTCTGTGCTATCTTGTAATGACATTATTTGATTGTTGTCTACAAACGGCATTTAATTGCTTTCGGCCATTGGTATTTTTGAACTGCAATACTTCAAACAAACTTATATAATCCTTCTGTATCCGATTTATTTTTGCTATTCTGATATCACACGTCTGTAATTTTCGCGTTTTGGAAATTCTATGATTTTCTAAAGCTAATTAGTGTCACCAGACAAAGGCAAATCAAATTCACAAACAATATTTTTCAGGACATTATTGCTATAAACAATATTTCAAGCCACAAAAAACCAACTTAAAAAAATAAAATGAGCTAGATTTTAGTGTTAAGAAGCTTAATTTTCCGAAGAACATTAAGTGATGTGTAATTAAAATGACAGTTAGTGTACGTTTCGCGTATCGTCAGGATGCAACGAAGGGAAACCGGGAGACCTAGAGTGAGGGCCGGGCGTTCTGTTAATATCCGGGATTGGCAGAAACAAGGGGAAGTACTGTCTACCTGGAATGATGGTAAGTTTGCTATAGGCCTCCAGAATCTGTTCCAAGCTTTTTTTTTTTTTCAATTTAAACATTCTTGCGGCAAATACGATTTTTATAATCATTCTCTCAAATGAAAAACAAACATTTTACCATCATCAAGCTTCATTAAAACGATGTCAAAAACCTGTACAATAACAACGTATTCTTCGTTCTAATGCAATTTCTTGCCTGCTGCCATTATACCGGTTATGTTATGTATTGTTGATTGGCTTTCCTTCTTCTCTTCCACGTGGGGAATGTCAAGAATTTCTTCATTTCTTCTTCCTTCATTGCTGCTCCGAGACAAAGTTCAGTGTCTGGTGGATGGTAAACAAACCGTTTCATTCAAGCTGAAAATGAGATAAACGAAATACCATAATTAGCGGTCTGGCTTCGAATCGGTTTATAATTGTTATTAAAATGTTTAGGCGTGCTGAAATTATTGTTTTTATAAAGGTAGGTCTGGCTTTGGCTTTTTTAATTAGGTGTTTGAGTTATTAAAAATCATGTATTTTAGTTTTAATCTTGACGTGTGAAAAATGGTTTCTATATTGAAATTGTATTTGAGGGTGTCCTAGAAAATAGCACTGATACCTATCCGATTTTCTTTTTTCTAATTTTTGAGAATAACAGATTATGAGTATTATTAGCAAAAGATAAGTAAGGCTTGAAATGTGCAACTTATCTGAAACACTTTTGTATAAGAAAATCTACTAATTATTTCTAAAGTGAATAAGAAATTTTTTCAAACTACTAAATTGCGTGGAAAAAATCGCCTGAGTTTAACAATCCATTCCTTTTTCATTTTCCTCTTTTTATAATGGCAAACTAATGGATGTTCATGGTAATTATTTTTTATGTATCTTGTGATTAAGTGCATCGTTACATTCTATAGGCACTATAATGCATTTATCGAGGAGGCATTTTTTTTAATGCCAGAGAAGACTTTCCATTCTTACTATTGATGTAAATTCTATCAATTTTATGAGGAAACAAACCTTTTGGTAGAAATCTGTGCTAAATTTAAAATTTTGTACATGTCAAAACAATTTTATTCGACATTATTTGATTGATCGTGTTACTCTTTCAAAGAAAAATCGGTTAGATTACCTGATCGATGGTGCAAGTCATTAAATTTGATACAACAACATTGCGAACCGTTTCCGTGAACTATAACGAGTCCTGTTAGAGTTGTAAATGTCGAAAGCATGATAGTGCACCCAATAGTAATACATACAATGCAAGGAAGGCGAAATAAAAAAAAAATCCTATGAAGATGTTTTAACGTTGGTTTATTCCGAAATAATTGAATGGGGATCTCGTTACACCTAAGGCCTGACTTTTACTTTTTAATTTTTGGTCTGGAAGAAACTTGAAATTACAAAGTACAAAATACTAATTTATAGTATAGTATATGCAGGCTTTATTAACTAAATTTAAATACATATTTAAAAATTTTTTTGTTTCCCTCTGTTTGATTTTTTGATGGCAAAACAATCATTGAAAAAAATCCATCAAATAATGATTGCTCAAGGAGAATAGATAACTAGTGAAAATTCTTATTGATAATAAGAAAGAGTCTTATAAATAATCTTCAAAAGCAAAAAACAAACCGTTACCAAAGGGGAAAAAAAAACATTAATTTACAGCTCTTAAGCTTTATTTGCATGGGAAATTATGTTTATTCAAATCTGGCATGCTTACTTATAACTTTGACTATCTCAATTTTTTTTTATAAGCTTTCATTTGACATTTTCTGGTTTCTAAGAAGTTTCCATTAATTAAATTCTTAACGGTTTGTTAATGAATAATATATTTGATACGGAGAGTAATAAGTGTTTTTGCTTACATTTCAATGTAGACTTTCTTCTCTTTAAGAATCTATCAGTTGATTTTTGATAAGGTGACAGCCCACTATGAACTATCTAAATAATTAATGAATCGAGACCTACATGTATGATGATTAGATTAACATGACTTGCTTGATTGTTAATAGATTGTAAATATGAATAATTGAAGATCAGATACGTTATTGAAATTAGGATCAATATTTTTCTTCAGATATTTATCACTGTTTCTATCTAGAATGTTTATTTTGCGGTTTCGATTCAGTTGGAAGTTTATCGTCCCAAACTAGGGTCTTTTTCCTAGCTCTTGATTTGGGTTAACAGATTCTAAGCTTGAACATGTTGACTTCATATTGTCACGGATTCCATGGGGTCACTAAAAACCCACTGCACTAACAATAACAATTATTGAATTAATTTGACTATAAATAATTCACTAATCACTTATTGCTTTGTCTTGACTATTATAAATTTAGTTATGACCCATATTACTGGGTCAGTGTAACTTGGAAAGAACAAAGTATTATTTATTTATTAAGCTGGGTACACTACAGAATTAAGCTCTAGATTGTACATTTGAAATAATAATAATAATAGTTATGCATAAAACAAAAATTAAACTTAAACTTAAAACCACGTCAATGTTAAAAACACATATAGCTAACACAAGCAATGAGAACAATGAACACAAAGCATAGAGAACAGCGAAATAGAATAAATTGAAAACCAAAATGAATGTCTATAACAAACGTCTCAGCGTGTGGAGTCTAGCTGAGAACAAGTTGATTGCTGCGTAGTGGTCATTGTAGTTGCTCATCATGCAGTCAACAAATGCACCCCAGCCATAATTTGTTCGATGAGTGGCCACAAACAAGAGCTGGGTTTGCCCGGTTTGTCGAATTGGCACACGAAAACTGATTTAGGAAAGCCGAGGACTACAAGGTTATTATCCCCCGAACCAGCTTAAAAAGAAACAGTAGCAGCTGATCACGCTGTCTTTGTTCCAATGATTTCAGGCCACGCAGGAGGAGCCTAATGCTGTGGTCGACGTTTTCATAGGGAAAGTGATGTTTGTACAGGAGGTATTTAGCAAATTTTGCCTGAACTCTTCCAATCCGTTGTTTGTGACAGTTGTAAACAGGAAAGCAAATCACGCTGCAGTATTCAAGGATGCTGCGCACCAGACAGTTGTAAAGAGTGTGAAGCGTCTGGGTATCATGTAGATGCTTCGTGTTACGCTTCACAAAGTCCAGCATCCTAAACCCTCTGTTCACAATATTTTTAATGTGGTTCTCAAAAGTTAAATTACTGTCAAACATCAATCCCAAATCATTGTAAACGCCAAAATATTCAATTATCTGGTTTTCGATGGTGTAGCAAAAAGGCTGGACACTCCGGTTCTTGAAAAATTGCATTGACTAACACTTCTTGACGTTCAATTCCAAAAAATTGTTCCTGCACCATGTAACAAGCCAGTCCAAATCCGCTTGAAGGTTGACATGTGAACCCATTTTAGAAAAAAGTTTTAAGTCATCGGCGTACAGAAGAAACTGAGCGTTGTGGAAGCAGCTGGCCGCAACATTGACGAACAGGAAGAATAGTATTGGACCTATGTATGACCCCTGGGGAACACCGGAGAGGACTTTATTTTCCCGGCATGCTGCCTCACCCACAGTACAATACTGCCTGCGTTCGCTAAGGTATGACTCAATCCAGCACCTCATAAAGCCTGAAATGCCCATCCTGGAGCGCTTCATAAGGAGCAGCTGATGACAGACCCTATCGAAAGCCTTTGATATATCGGTAAAAACGACGTCGACTCTGTGACCAGCTTCCAGTGATTGAATCAGGTAGTTCTGATAAACGGCCAGGCTTATTGCTGCAGATCGACCCTGTTAAAAACCATGCTGCTCTTCCATTATGTGGTGCTTGTATGTTTCGAATATCTTCTCTGGAATGATGGCCTCTATTAGTTTGGGGATAGCTGATAATAGGGAAATTCCTCTGTAGTTGCGAACGTCTTTCCTGTTGCCAGATTTGAAAATTAGAAAAATAGTTGATTTTTTCCAGCAGTCTGGAAAGTAGAAAGATTGAATGATCTTTGAAATAATTTGCACAGAGGTTTTGACATGGAATGGTGACATTTTTGAAATAGCAGAGGGGGAATGCCATCAGGACCTGGACCCTTGGAGCTGTCCAATTACTTTAGCTTTGATTCGATATTATTTTCCAAGAAGTCATAGGAGGATAGCGTAGAGACAAAGGGTATGCTGGAATCGAGGTTGGAAGCTTGCTGAGTCGGTGCTCCTTTGTAGTCTGTGTAGAAATATTGAAAGTTGGTGGCAAATGCATTGGAAATGGCCTGATTGTCGGCGAAAACTTGCCCATTATGTTGAAGCGTTGCTGGAATGCCCGAGTCCTTTCTTAAGGACTTAACGTAGGATCAAAAGTGATATTTGTAGGTAGTACATGCTCCATGTTCGATATAAAGATGACATAGCAAAGATCTATTGGATATTTCACTTCCCTTCGCAGGTTTGAATAAATCGTATAATCGTGAGGATTTCTGGAGTATTTGTATTTTTTGTAGTACTTGTTTTTGGAACTAATAAGTTTTTTTAGTGGAGCACTATACCACTTCGGAAACCTATCATTTGCGACGGCTCGTTCAGGCACAAATCTATCAAGGGCAGAATAAACAATGCGATAGAAATTTTTCACTATCTCATCAAGCTTCGAAGGTTCGTCTTTCTCACACCGGTGTCAAAGGTAAGCTCGAGGGCTGGATGGTAAGGATCGCACTAGACCAAACGATGGTTGCTTTGTTCAACCGAGTAAGTTTTGATGTTGTCAATTAGTGTGTAGTCCAAGATCCTGATGCCCAAAGAATTTTTAACATGATTGAGCTGTTGCAACTCCAAGTAATACATTGACTCAATTAAGATTTCTCCAGCTAAGGTTCTCGATTGTGCTGGCGCCAGGAAGCATTCCTAAGACACCATTCTATATGGGGAAGGTTGAAGTTCCAAACTATCAAAAAACGCTGCTCTGTGATACCTGTTTCGAAGTACCTGAACCCTGTCCATGAATTCCTGGTATGTTTCGACAGCAGAGTTTGGGGCAATGTAGACGCAACCTACTACA